GCATTGTCTCATGTTTTATGTCTTTTAATTTTTTGCTCTTTTTGATTAAATTGCTCTTGGTAAATTCGTTTTCTTTTGTGATTGCACATATCTGTCCTTTTTCCTTGTCTTTGTTTCTCTTGTAATAATAATCTATAACTTCTTCTTTATAATATTCAGGTTCGAACCACCAATTTGGCTTTTGTTCTTGCCACCAATCTCATGCTATTTGCTATCCATGTAATTATTTCCCTTTCCTATTGCAACACTCTGTTGTCTTTATTAGGTCACTGATTACTCTTGGTGAGTCCGCCCACTTCATAAGTCCTCTGTACCTTGCACTGGGTGACAGGATATATTTTCCTTCCACTTGGTGTCACTCCGGAATCACGTTTCAACCAAGTGACTAACGTTGCTAAATTTCACGTTGGCTAACTTGTCAACAAACACCGGAAGCTGTCACGAGCCTGAGCTATGGTAAAAAAATATAATAATTAAAAAATAAATAAAAAATTGATGTCAAGTAGGGGGCCACAAAATATCGTTCCACGGGCCGCAATTGGCCCGCGGGCCGCGAGTTTGAGACCCCTCTATTAAAGGTAGGTGTGTCTGTGTGTGCACACGTGTGTGTACGGGGGCTTCTAGACAGGTGCGAGGGGCCTGTAACCCCTCCACCTTCAATTAATTACCACTAAACCACGAGTTAAACTGAAATGTAACTAATAAGCTTGTGCCGGAGGCCCCGGGGGGACAGGCGTCTATGACGTCTCCTGGCCAAACCCCAATTGGCGGAGCCAGGAGATTGAATATCTACCCTCGGGGCTCCTCCAGAAACAACGAAAAGCCACTACGGGTGGCCACATGGAATGTTCGAACGCTCACTGCGGAGGAGAGGCTGCCACTCCTCTGTCGGGAGCTGGACCGGTACCGCCTGGATCTATGTGGCATTCAGGAGGTCCGGTGGACCGGCTCTGGCTCCTGCCACCATGAGGGGTGGACAGTCCTATACTCGGGACAGGAGACTGCCAAACAACAGGGAGTGGCTCTTCTTTTGAACAAAAGAATGAAGGGGGCGTGGGAGCGTGGCGGTGAGGTGTGGGAAGCTTTAAGTCCCAGGCTACTTTGGGCTCGCCTTCCCATCAACCGGAGGCGAGGAATGGTGGTCATGGTTACTTATGCCCCCACCGAAGATGAACATCCGTGGAGGGATGCAGGCAAAGCCGATGAGTCAGATGCCTTCTATGACCTCCTGTCACAGGTGCTGGCTAAAGTGGCCCCTCGGGATAGAGCCATCATGTTGGGTGACTTCAATGCCCGAGTTGGTCATGATACTGGCACCTGGTCTGGAGTGATTGGAGGGCATGGGCCAGATCAGCTCAATAACAACAGTAGGAGGCTGCTAGATTTTTCTGCAGCCCATGGGCTTGTAATTACCAACACGCTGTTCCAGCATCCACACAACATCAAGGATGCATGCCGGGTCCAAGCAAGAACATCTGCTGGACTACAAAGTGACGGACCAGCGGATGCGAGCCCATGTCCTTGACACCAGGACCTACCGTGGAGCTGATCTGTCCTCTGACCATCGACTAGTCATCTGTAAGATGCGCCTGCCATTCTTCCACTCCGGTGGTGGGTGTACACCCAGGACCCCATTCCAACCTAAAGTGGCCTGGTCTCAGTTATCTGATGAAAGTTGCAAGCGAGAATTTCATCATCGCTTGCGGCTGGGATTGGCATCGTCCCCGACTCCTCCTGATGTCGAGGGTAAATGGGCGAGGTTTAGGACTGTCACTCATGCAGCTGCAATGGCTGCTTTGGGTACGCGGTCCAAACCTCCCCAGAGACCCTGGCTGACAGAGGAGGTGTTCAGGATGGTTGAGAAAAAGCGACAGGCCCACTGTCATCGGCTACAGAATCCCACGTCAGAGAATGAGGAGGCTTACCGCAGCCTTCGCTCGGAGGTTCGGAGAGCCGTGAGGCGCTGCAAGGATGGGTGGTGGTCGCGGGTTGCTGCGGAGATGGAGTCTGCCTCAGTGGCCCGTGATCACAATTCTCTATTTAACTCCATCAAAAAAGTTACCTGCAGCGCCACACCTATTACCATCATTAGGGGAAAAAATGGTGATCCAATCTCCGACCCCCAGGAACAGGATTGCAGATTTGCTGAGCATTTCTGTGAGGTCCTGGGGGAGGGAAAATCCCTCAGCCAGGAAAACATCATGGCACAAAGTGAGGATGACCCTGCTGAGGCTGCGGTGCCTCAAATATTGGAAGAAGTCACCCCCTGTGAGTGGCTGGCTGAGGTGCCATCTGTTGAGGAAGTACTGAAGGCAATCCGGAGTCTGAGACCAGGAAAGGCAGCGGGCAGAGATGATCTCCCAAGCGAAATGCTGAGGGAGGGTGGCGTTTGTGCACAGACTGCCCTATATGACATCATAACAATGGTCTGGACCACTGGACGGGTTCCGCAGGATTGGAAGGATGCCCTGGTGGTCCCCCTTTTAGGGGGACCGCACAGACTGTAACAACTACAGGGGCATCTCACTCCTCAGTGTGCCGGGAAAGGTCCTGGCAAGGATTATTCAGCATCGCCTTGCCAGGTGCACTGAGGAGAGGCTTGCGGAGCCCCAATGCGGTTTCAGGAAAGGGCGGTCCTGCACAGATGCCATATTTTCTGTCCGTCTGCTACAGCAGAGGTGTAGGGAATTCCAACAAGACCTACATCTCTGCTTTATTGTCATGGTCAAGGCCTATGATACCATCAGTAGGCCTGGGCTCTGGGTTGTTCTTCGTGCTTTTGGAGTACCTGACCCTCTGCTCACGATCATTAAGGACCTTCGTGATGGTGAGCGGGCCCGGGTAAAACTACGTGGCCGGGAGTCAGAGCCATTCCCTGTACACCTTGGGGTGCGACAGGAATGTCCTCTGGCTCCCACATTATTTAACATCTATTTTGACCACGTAGTTCGTGAAGCCTTCAATAGCTGTACCGGGGGAATCTCCATATGGTACAGATATAATGGGAGGCTGATCGACACCCGGGTGCGGTCAAGGGACGGCTCCCTATTGCTCAACCACGTTATGTATGCTGATGATTTGGTAATAGCTGCTCATTCAGAGGAGTTGGAGACGCTGCTGCTGAGACTGGAGCGTGCCACTAAGAGGTGGGGCCTTACCATCAGCCCCACCAAAACTAAGCACCTGCCTGGGTATTTTGTACCATCAGACACTCCACCCCCACAACTCCCAATCGGTGATGGGGCAGTTGTGGAGAGAGTGGAGAGTTTCCCATACCTGGGCAGTGTGCTTATGACCGGCTCCAGTTTAACAGCAGAGGTCTCACTCCGAATCAGTCGAGCAGCAATATCTTTTCATCGGTTGCGTAACGCTGTGTGGAAGCTACCTGGTCTGTCGCTCCGCACTAAGCTTCAGGTCTTCTCGGCCACGGTCATTCCCTCCCTTCTCTACGCTTGCAAAACGTAGACCCCCCTAATGGAACATCTTCGCCGGTTAGAAACATTTAGGCTGGCCTGCCTACGATCCATCCTGGGTTTAACCAGACTGGATTGTGTGAGGAGCTCACAAATCCTTGAAATATCTGGGCAAGGTCCCATCGGTGAGCTCCTCCGGCGGGGAAGGCTGCGATGGCTGGGTCATGTAGCCCACATGCCCAGCCACCGCATGCCGAAACAGCTTTTGTTCGGCCGGATTGAGGGGGCTAAGCGGGCGCGGTACGGGCTAGAGAAGAGATGGAGTGATGTGGTACAGGAGGACGTGGAGCTGAGTGGACTTGCCGATGACTGGTACCAGCGGTGTCAAGATCGGCCTCTGTGGAGGAGGCTCGTGAAGGACGCTACTGGGCAGTTGGAGGTAGTCGCCCTCCAACACGGAGGGCGGAGGAGCGACGCTCACAACAACGAGCGGAGCGCCGGGTGGCTAAAGCACAGCAGGTTGGCACAGTAGGGGGCACAGGTGGTGCATCAGCCAGTCATCTCAGTCAGTCGACCCGTGGCACCTGGGTCTGCCCCGTGACCTCCTGCCAGCGGGCGTTCGACACTTCACGTGGCCTCAGGGTGCACATAGCCTGGCACAAGCGTCGTGGTGACGTCACCGCCACTTAGTGGCGAATGGCGGTTGTTGTTGTTGTACGTGTACACACCAATACCAATACTCGCCATTCGCCAATAAGTGACGGTGACATCCCCACGGCGCCTGTGCCAGGCCAGGTGCACGCACTTTGGCACCACGTGACGTGCCAAAGGCTCGCTGCTGACAGTTCAAGAAACAGACCCAGCAGGTGCCATGAGTTGACTGTTGTGCCAGGCTAGGTGCAGGAGGTCACCGGACAGACCCAGATGCTGTGGGTTGACTGAGATGACTGGCGAATGCACTACCTGTGCCCCCCACTGTGCCAACTTGCTGAATTTTATCCGCCCGGCGCTTCGCTCGTTGTGAGCAGCGTCACTCCTCTGCTCTACGCTGTTGTTGGAAGGCAACTACCCCCAACTGCCCAGTAGCCTCACGGTGCACCTAGTCTGGCACTGCCCAGTAGCGTCCTTCACGAACCTCCTCCAATGAAGCCGATCTTAACACCACTGGTACCGGTCATGGCAAAGTTCACTCCACTCAAAATCCTCCTGTACCGCATCAGCTCCATCTCTTCTCCAGCCCGTGTTGTGCTCATTTAGCCCCCTCTATCCGGCCAAAAGCTGATTAAACATGCGATGGATGGGCATGAGTGATACATGACCCAGCCAACGCAGCCTCGCCTACTGAAGGAGCTCACCAATGGGAATGTGTCAAGATCTCCGAGGGTTTGTGAGCTCCGCACACAATAAAGCCTGCAGGTTAAACCCGGGATGGATCGTAGGCAGGTCAGCCTGAATGTTTCTAACTGGCGCAGATGTTCCATTCGAGGAGTCCACGTTTCACAAGCGTCGAGAAGGGAGGGAATGACCGCCTCCACTACCTCCAACGCCACCACATCCGCCACCTCCATCGCCACTACCACCACTCACCGGTGCGTGTCACCCTCCTCTTAGGTGGCGGCGTCTCTTCTCCTCGCTCCTTCTCAACCACCGCCTGCCTCTTCACCGTCGCCTTGCCCCTCGCTGGTCCCGCCGCTGCCCCTTGTGCAGCAGGAGCAGCAGCAGTAGGAGCAGCAGCAGCAGCAGGAGCCAGACTTGTCGACGCTTCCAAAATGACCTGGCTCCACCCTCTCCTTTTGACCCTGTTGCCGCCACCCCCCTCCTCCTCCTCCTCCTCCGCTCCTCCCCGCGTGTTCCTGGCCATCTTGGCTTTGCCGCCAGCGCTACCGTCCCCAGCTGATCGCTTGGAGCGGCCCGGCTGTCTGGGGCATGGCTGAGCAGCAGCAGCTGCTGATGATGCTGCTGCTGCTGATGTCTCCCTCAATGTCTTCATGCAGAGGCTCAACGCCGGCACATCTGCTCACCGCACACAGATGTCGGACCCCCGACTCCTGTTAGCGAGCGCCTATTAAAGGTAGGTGTCTGTGTGTGTGGAGGCTCAACCAGTCTTGGGCTTCCCCTAGGTCGACTCAGCCTCGAGTGAGTTACCTGGCAGTGGTGTGTGAGTAAACATCGCAACTGGGGAGAGACAAAGGCGGCCGGCATGTTGGTGTTGGCCACCCACCCACTCACACACTCACCCACCCAGTGACACACACCCACCAACCGCTAACTCACCCACTGACACACTCGCACACCCACCCACCCACTCACACACTCACCCGCCCACTGACACACTCCCCACCCACTGACACTCACTCACCCACCCACCGCTAACTAACTCACCCACTGACACTCACTCACCCACCCACTCACCCAGTGACACACTCACTCACCCACCCACTCACTCGCACACTCACCCAGTGACACACACACACCCGCTGCTAACTAACTCACCCACTGACACACTAACTCACTCACCCACCCACCCACTCACTCACCCAGTGACACACTCACCCACCCACCGCTAACTCACTCACCCATTGACCCACTCACTCACCCACTCCCTCACTCACCCACCCAGTGACACACACTCACCCACCGCTAACTAACACACCCACTGACACACTCACTCACCCACCCACTCACCCACCCAGCATCACTCACTCACCCACCCACCCACTCACTCACTTACACACCCACCGCTAACTAACTCACCCACTCACCCACCCAGCATCGCTCCCCAACCCACCCACTCACTCACCCACTCACTCACTCACCCACTCACTCACCCACCCACCCAGACTCACCCACTCGCTGACACGCCTACTCATTTAACGACTCACTAACCCAACCACCCACCTACACACTGACACACTCACTCACATGCTCACCCACCCATCGCTAACCAACTCACCGGCGCCCTCCTCCTCGCCCACAAAGGGAGTGCGAATCTCTGCGATTGGGCTCAGGCCCGGGCGACGGGAGACACGGGGTGGAGACTTCTGGGCATTCACCACTCCTCCACTTGTCTCCAGGGTTTCAGCCTTTGGACAGGGAGACATGGAGAGCGTGGGGGGACATTGGTGGTGACAGTGGTGATGGCGGTGATGATGATGGTTGTGATGCTGAAAGTGATGACGGTGGTGATGTTGGCGATGGTTGTGACATTGATGATGGTTCTGATGTGGATGTTGACGATGGTTGTGATGTTGATAGTGATAATGGTTGTGATGTTGATAATGGTTGTGATGTTGATAGTGATAATGGTTATGATGTTGATGATGGTCGTCATGGTGCCGATGGTTGTGCTATTGGCGATGATTTGTTGATGGTTGCGATGATGCTACTGATAGTTGTAATGTTGATGGCTATGATGCTCATGATGGTTGTGATGTTGATTGTGATGATGGTATTGATGTTGATGGTTGTGATGTTGACGGTTATGATGGTTGTGACGTTGATAATGGTTGTGATGTTGATGATGTTGTTCATGATGAGAGATTATGTTGATGATATTGATGTTCACATTGGAGATGGTGTTGATGATGTTGTTCATGATGAGAGATTATGTTGATGATATTGATGTTCACATTTGAGATGTTGATGATGTTGTTCATGATGATGGAGATTATGTTGATGATATTGATGTTCACATTGGAGGTGGTATTGATGTTGTTCATGATGATGGAGATTATGTTGATGATATTGATGTTCACATTGGAGATGGTGTTGATGATGATGTTGTTCATGATGAGAGATTGTTGATATTGATGTTCACATTGGAGATGGTGTTGATGATGTTGTTCATGATGAACGAGATTATGTTAATGTTTACGATGGAGATGATGTTGGCCATGATGAAGATGGTGATGTTGATGATGTTGTTCATGATGATGGAGACAATGATTTTGATGACGGCAATGATGTTGTCCATGATGGAGATGATGTGGACGATGATGATCTTGATGTTGTTTGTGATGAAGACAATAATTATAGCGGTGATGATGTTGTTGACGTTGATGATGTTGATATCATCTCACCGGCTTCGCCCTCAGCCGTCCTGCCCTCATGGTCTTCTCCTTCACGGCCGCCTCCGGGGTAACTTGCACGATTTCCCCCTCGCTCGCATGTCGAGTAGGGGCTTCCGCGGATGTCCCCCTCCGAGACATTCTGGTTGAGGGAATTTCCCCGGGCGTCTTCGAGCGGCCCCGCGTTGCTCTCTTAGCAGCCAGCGGCTGAGGTGGAATTTCTGAGATGGCTTCCGCAGATTTCCCCCTGCGAGACCTCTTCTCAGGGGGAACTTTCACGATTTCTACTTTGCTAACATCTTGAGCAGGGGCGTCCGCAGATTTCCCCCTGCGAGGTCTCGTACGAGATGCAACTTCAACGATTTTTACCTCGTTCACATCTTGAGCAGGGGCGTCCGCAGATTTTCCTCTAAGATATCTCTTCTCAGAGGGAACTTTCACGATTTCTGCCTCGTTAACATCTTTAGCAGGGGCTTCCGCCGATTTCCCCCTGCGAGACCTGTTTTGAGAGGGAACTTCCGCGATTTTTATCTCGCTAATATCTTGAGCAGTGGCTGTCGCAGATTTTCCCCTGTGAGATCTCTTCCGAGATGTAACTTCAACGATTTCTACCTCGTTCACATCTTGGGCAGGGGCGTCCGCAGATTTTCCTGTTCGAGACCTCTTCTCAGAGGGATCTTCCTGGAGGTTTACCACGCTAATATCTTGGGCAGGGGCGTCCTCAGATTTTCCTCTGCGAGACCTCTTCTCAGAGGGAGCTTCCACGAGGTCTACGTCGCTAATATCTTGGGCAGGGGCTTCCGCAGATTTTCCTCTGCGAGACCTCTTCTCAGAGGGAACTTCCACAAGGCCTATCTCGCTAATATCTTGGGCAGGGGCGTCCGCAGATTTTCCTGTTCGAGACCTCTTCTCAGAGGGATCTTCCTGGAGGCCTACCTCGCTAGTATCTTGGACAGGGGCGTCCGCAGATTTTCCTCTGCGAGACCTCTTCTCAGAGGGAACTTCCACAAGGCCTATCTCGCTAGTATCTTGGGCAGGGGCGTCCGCAGATTTTCCTCTGCGAGACCTCTTCTCAGAGGGAGCTTCCTGGAGGTTTACCACGCTAATATCTTGGGCAGGGGCGTCCGCAGATTTTCCTCTGCGAGACCTCTTCTCAGAGGGAGCTTCCACGAGGTCTACCTCGCTGATATCTTGGGCAGGGGCGTCCGCAGATTTTCCTCTGCGAGACCTCTTCTCAGAGGGAGCTTCCACGAGGTCTACGTCGCTAATATCTTGGGCAGGGGCTTCCGCAGATTTTCCTCTGCGAGACCTCTTCTCAGAGGGAGCTTCCACGAGGCCTACCTCGCTAGTATCTTGGGCAGGGGCGTCCGCAGATTTTCCTCTGCGAGACCTCTTCTCAGAGGGAGCTTCCTGGAGGTTTACCACGCTAATATCTTGGACAGGGGCGTCCGCAGATTTTCCTCCGCGAGATCTCTCCTCAGAGGGAACTTCGACGATTTTTACCTCACTAATATCTTGAGCAGGAGCTTCCGCAGATTTCCCCCTCCTAGATCTCTTCTGAGAGGGAACTGCCACAACTTCTACTTTGCTAACATCTTGAGCAGGGGCGTCCGCAGATTTCCCCCTGCGAGGTCTCGTACGAGATGCAACTTCAACGATTTTTATCTCGTTCACATCTTGAGCAAGGGCTTCCGCAGATTTTCCACTGCGAGACCTCTTCTCAGAGGGAACGTCCACGATCTCCGCTTCGCTAATATCTTGGGCCGGGGCTTCCTCAGATTTCCCTCCGCCAGATCTCTCTTCAGAGGGAAGTTCCACCATTTTTACCTCGCTAATATCTTGGGTCGGGGCTTCCGCAGATTTCCCTCCGCCAGATCTCTCAGAGGGAACTTCCACCATTTTTACCTCGCTAATATCTTGGGCCGGGGCTTCCGCAGATTTCCCTCCGCCAGATCTCTCTTCAGAGGGAAGTTCCACCATTTTTACCTCACTAATATCTTGGGCAGGGGCGTCCGCAGATTTTCCTCTGCGAGACCTCTTCTGAGAGGGAACTGCCACAACTTCTACTTTGCTAATATCTTGAGCAGGGGCGTCCGCAGATTTCCCCCTCCTAGATCTCTTCTGAGAGGGAACTGCCACAACTTCTACTTTGCTAACATCTTGAGCAGGGGCGTCCGCAGATTTCCCCCTGCGAGGTCTCGTACGAGATGCAACTTCAACGATTTTTACCTCGTTCACATCTTGAGCAAGGGCTTCCGCAGATTTTCCACTGCGAGACCTCTTCTCAGAGGGAACGTCCACGATCTCCGCTTCGCTAATATCTTGGGCCGGGGCTTCCGCAGATTTCCCTCCGCCAGATCTCTTTTCAGAGGGAAGATCCACCATTTTTACCTCGCTAATATCTTGGGCCGGGGCTTCCGCAGATTTCCCTCCGCCAGATCTCTCTTCAGAGGGAAGTTCCACCATTTTTACCTCGCTAATATCTTGGGCAGGGGCTTGCGCAGATTTCCCCCTGCGAGATTTTTTCTGGGAGGGAACTTCCATAATTCCGACTTGGCTGCCATCCACCCCGAGCATCCGCGGAAGCGAAGGGGGGTCCACCGAGGCTTCTTCTGCCACCCACCACTCCGTCGCGACCGCATCAGGCCGTGGGGCGAAACAACGGACGCCCGGTCGGTTCGACGACGCGGGAGGAGAGACGGGACGGAGGGCCCGGCGGAGGTTGCCATCAGAACTCAGGGGAGACACGGCCATCTCACCTGGGGAGGTGTGGGGAAGAGGGGTAGTGTAACGATTAGCGCGCTGCACTACGAACCCAGTGACACGAGTTCAATTGTCGCTCACGGCCAACACCGGTGACAATGAACTGAAACGGTCTTGGGCCTCCCCTAGGTCGACTCAGCCTCAAATGAGTAGCTAGTGTGCTGCGTATACATCAACACTAGGTAGGCAAAGGCGGCCGGGTGTGGTCGTGTCAGGCCTTTATAGGTGCTGCTACTCGCTAACAGCACTTGCCCCAATAGTCTATTAAGGTAATCTATGGTTCTTTCGGCAAAGTCATGTAGATAGAAAAAATTAATAAAAATAAAGTGATTAAAAATATCACGACGTTTCGATCGCACCACCAGCGGTCGTCATCAGGAACAGGCGGGTTAGCCTTTGAGGGCAAGCTGTTTATAAAGGTTTAGAGATGGGCGGAGCAACTAATGTTAATGTAGGAGAAACCTCCTACACCGGCAGGTCAACACCAATCAAAGAGCTGCTTATAAAGGTTTAGAGATGGGCGGGGCAGCTAATGTTAATGTAGGAGAGGTCTCCGACACCGGCAGTAGGTCTACACCAATCAAAAAGCTGTTCATAATGGTTTAGAGATGGGCGGGGCAGCTAATGTTAATGTAGGAGAGGGCTCCAACACCGACAGTAGATCTACACCAATCAAAGCATTTCACCTCGCTCCACACACCCACACTGCTGACAGTGGAGGTTGACAAGAAAACACAAATCAAGTCATGACCCAAAGTGGTTGATGACATCTTTCCAACGATTGCCGAGCTTATAACCAACGTCTCGGTTGAAATTGTGTCTGTGTCTGTATATATGGATGGCTTCATGAACGAATCTTTGTTGATAGCCAGTAGGCTTGCAAAGTACCATCGTCTTAGAGAAATACATTTCTTGTGCCAGCAGCATTAAAATAAATATCAGCCACGGCAGAAGTATTGGTCTTACTGTGTTTCAAATCTGCCTTATGCTCACAAACACGGTCCGAGACATGTCGCTTAGTTTCCCCCAATGTAACTGCTGCCGCAGGTACAGCTTAGTTTGTAGACGCCGGGATATTGCATGTCAGGAATCTTGTCCTTCACCGACGGGATCAGACCCCGTTCACGACTGAAACAAAGCGCCGCTCCCCAGTCTGCCTGTAGATCGCGTTCAGTACACAACCCTTGCTATAACTCTGTGAATGTTCACGTGTTTTTTGTCATTTTAACTCCTCTCAGCAAGGTAAAGTGATCTTACATTTTATTTTTATTTGTTGATGCATTTATCTTAACGTATTATGCATTTTAGTCATAAGTAGTGTCTAAGTAATTTTATACAACCACTTTAATTTTTATTTAAAGCTTTCGTGACTGCAGGGATTCATATTCTTGGTTCTTTCGGTAAAGTCACATAGAAGGGAAACAATAAAATAATAAAAAATATAAAACAATAATAACAACATTAATGTTTAATATGCCATATAAAATATAATTTCTTATACTCTGTAACAGATTATTTCCTTTCCCTTTATTTCTTATGGGAAAAATTAAGTTTGGTAGACGTCATTTTTAGTAAAAGTCCTACACTTTCTGGAACAAATTAACGACGTATACCGAGGTACTACTGTAGCTCCTTTTTCAGAAGCGACCTGGGTCATCACAAATGACAGCTCAACAAAGCGGACGACCCATGCGACCACCACGGGGAGGGAGAGAGAGAGAGATGCAGACTCCAAATATACAGCAGGAAATGTCAGGGTAGGGATCGAACCCACGACCTCCTGTATACCAGGTGAGGCAGTTAACCGTGAAAAATGTGCCATAGTGGAGTCTATAGCAGTGTAGTGTATAGTAGTGGTGTACTATGTGTAGTGTAGAGTAGCATTGTGCATAAAGTGTAGTGTATAGTGCAGTATGTATGTTGAACTTCATTCGCAACTACATAGTATAGTGTATAGTAGTGGTGTATTTTAGTGTATAGTAATGTCGTGGATAGTGTAGTGTATAGTGGTGTAGTGTATCGTGGTGTACGGTATAGCAGTGTAGTGTATAGTGTACTGTTTAGTGTATCGTAGCGTTGTGCATATAGTGCAGTATGTATGTTGAACTTAATTCGCGACTACGAAGTGTAGTGTATAGTAGTGTAGTGTATAGTATAGTGGTGTAGTGTATAGTAGTGTATAGTAGTGTAATGTATAGTAGTATAGTTTGTAGTGTAATGTGTTGTGACCGCTACGCCACCGCTCCCCACAAAGACGGCACACAACCTCAAGTCTTGGGGGAGGGGTTGGATGTGTGGGTGAGTGAATGAATGAGTGGGTGGGTGTTAGTGGGTGGTCGTCAGTGGGTGTTAGTGGGTGGCAGTGGGTGAGTGTCTCACCGCTCCCCTCGGGGGTACACAGCAAGTCGTAGGGGTCCACTTCCCCTTCATTCCCGGACCATGGAGAATGCCGCTCGGGGGTCATTGCCACATGGGCCGATGTCTCGCGACGGGCGGCCAAAGAGCCCCTCATCGTGCCTGCACAATAACAAGCAGGGATGGGTTTATGGATGCAATCTCTGCATTGAGACACAACTCCCACTAACGAAGGCACGGTCATCTTGTGCATGTAGAACTGGGTGAGTGGGTGGGTAAGTGAGGAATTTAGTAGGTAGGTGGGTGAGTGACAGGGTGGATGGGTGTGTGAGGGTGGTTGTGCGAGTGGGTTGGTGGGTGGGCGAATTTGAGTGGGTGAGCAGCTGAATGTGTGTGTGTGGGGAGCGGGAGTGTAGTAGTGGTTAGCATGCTGCTGCGCTGCAAACCCAGGGACCCAAGTTCGAATCCTGCTCAGATCCACCCAGGACCGGTTTATAATCGCCACTGGTGTTGGCCATGAGTAGGAATCAAACTCGGATCGTCGGGTTCCAAGGGCAGCACGCTAACCGCTACTATACTACCACTCCCCACACTGTGCCAACACGCACATGAACACGCACACATACTACAACAACCGCCATTCGCCACTAAGTGGCGGTGACGTCACCACGACGCTTGTGCCAGGCTATGTGCACCTTGAGGCCACGTAAGAGTGTCGAACGCCCGCTGGCAGGTCACGGGGCAGACCCAGGTGCCACGGGTCGACTGAGTGAGATGACGCACATGTATACGCACATGTACACACATATACACACTTCGACCTACCTCCCACACTCCTGCATGTCCTCCTTACAGCCACCACCGCTGACACTTCCTTCGCTGTCCGGACCGCTGAGGCACTCCTCCTCGTCCTGCCCCTTCCTCCCCGCTCCAACGTACACCCACCACCATCACCGCCACCATCACCGCCACCATCACCGCCACTATCACCACCACCAACTGCCGTCTCCTGGGCGTCATCACCATCGCCACGGTCGTCGTCACGGTCTTGCCGCAGAGTCGGGACGGGCGACGGGGTCTCCACCACGGACACGGAGAAACGGCCAGACACACGAACGGGGGTGCGGGTTGAGGTTGCCATCTTGGTTGAGGACAGCTTTGGTGAGGCCCTCTCTGGAGAGGCCACCTCGGGAATGGGCATTAGAGAAGCCGCCGTTGGCGAAGAGAGCTCAGAAGCCATCACCACCACAGACGAGGGGGTTCGAGCGAGAGAATCCATCTTGGGCGAGGCTCCAGGAGAAGCCATCTTGGGCGAGGATCCAGGAGAAGCCATCTTGGGCGAGGTTCCAAGAGAATCCATCTTGGGCGAGGTTCCAGGAGAATCCATCTTGGGCGAGGTTCCAGGAGAATCCATCTTGGGCGAGACTCTAGGAGAAGCCATCTTGGGCGAGGCTCTAGTAGAAGCCATTTTGGGCGAGGCTCTAGAAGCCATCTTGGGCGAGGCTCTAGGAGAAGCCATCTTGGGCAAGGCTCTAGGAGAAGCCATCTTGGGCGAGGCTCTAGGAGAAGCCATCTTGGGCGAGGCTCTAGGAGAAGCCATCTTGGGCGAGGCTCTAGGAGAAGCCATCTTGGGCGAGGCTCTAGGAGAATCCATCTTGGGCGAGGCTCCAGGAGAATCCATCTTGGGCGAGGCTCCAGGAGAATCCATCTTGGGCGAGGCTCTAGGAGAAGCCATCTTGGGGGAGGCTCTAGAAGAGGTCATCTTGGGCGAAGCTCCAGAACTCATCTTGGGCGAGGCTCCAGGAGAACTCATCTTGGGCGAGGCTCCAGGAGAAGCCATCTTGGGCAATGCCCTAGGGGAAGCCATCTTGGGCGAGGCTCTAGGAGAAGCCATCTTGGGCGAGGCTCCAGGAGAAGCTATCTTGGGCGAGGCTCTAGGAGAAGCCATCTTGGGCGAGGCTCTTGGAGAAGCCATCTTGGGCGAGGCTCTCAGAGAAGCCATTTTGGGGGAGGCTCTAGGAGAGGTCATCTTGGGCGAAGCTCCAGAACTCATCTTGGGCGAGGCTCTAGGAGAAGCCATCTTGGGCGAGGCTCCAGGAGAAGCTATCTTGGGCGAGGCTCTAGGAGAAGCCATCTTGGGCAAGGCTCTCGAAGAAGCCATCTTGGGCGAGGCTCCAGGAGAACCCACCTTGGGTGAGGCTCTCGGAGAAGCCATCTTGGGCGAGGCTCTTAGAGAAGCTATCTTGGGCGAGGCTCTAGGAGAAGCCATCTTGGGCGAGGCTCCAGGAGAAGCTATCTTGGGCGAGGCTCTAGAAGTCATCATGGGGGAGGCTCTTGGGGAAGCCATCTTGGGTGAGGCTCTCAGAGAAGCCATCTTGAGTGAGGTCCTAGCAGAAGCCATCTTGGACGAGGCTCTAGAGGCCATCTTGGGGGAGGCTCTTGAAGCCATCTTGGGGGAGGCTATAGGAGAAGCCATCTTGCACGAGGCTTTAGAGGCAGCCATCTTGGGTGAGGCTCTTGGAGCATTCTTAGGCGAGGCCACTTTGAAAGAGAACAGCTTTTTGGAGGTTGATACAGACCTCTTGTGTGAACACAACTCATCATCCCCCTCCTGTAGTCGTAGCACAAAAGGGAGAGAAGAATGAATCAGGTTAGTGAATGAATCGGTAGAATGAGGCTACTGAAGTGTGAACGTGGCAGAGAAAGTGCATACACCAGGAGAAAAGTTTATCGCCTCCACCATCAACACCACCGCCACCACCACAACTCATCGTCACCACCACCATCTCCATAACCACCACCACCACCACCACCCATCCCCTGGAGCTCACTTGGATGACACCGCAGGCCGGCATGGCCACCCGGGCCCTGGGGGTCCTGGCGGGCGACGCTCCCCTTCTGAGCGGCGTGGAGGGTGGCAGAGTCTTGTCAAAGAGCTCGGGGCTCAGGTGGATACCAAACGACACTACCCTGCCCTTCTTGCCCTTCTTGCCCTTCTTGCCCTTCTTGCCCTTCCTGAGCTTGCGGGGGGGCAGAGCGAATGACAAGGGAGAGGCGCCAGCAGAAGCAGGGACAACAGCCCCCTTTTTGCCCTCTTTCTCCTCCTCCTCCTCCACTTCCACTTCCTCCTCCTCCTCCACTTCCTCCTCCTCCTCCACTTCCTCCTCCTCCTCCACTTCCTCCTCCTCCACTTCCTCCTCCTCCTCCACTTCCTCCTCCACTTCCTCCTCCACTTCCTCCTCCTCCTCCTTCTCTTCCACCACCTCCTCCTCTACCACCACCACCACCTCCTCCTCCAACGACTTTCGCTTCCTGATGGAGACTGTGGAGAAAAGGTGGGGGAGGGGGGGGGGGTCGAGGTGTCAGGTGGTGGGCGTGGTGGACAAGTGGATGGACAGCGTTGGTCGGAAGGCGAGAGAAAGCGGGCAAAACATTCCAGTGGCGTGGCAAGGTGACGGTACAGATGCGGAACCGTGACGACGATTGTCAGACGGAACACAACCCCCCCCCCCTCCTTCCTCACAACAGAAGACACGAACATTCCCCACCCCCCACCCATACCTCTCCGTGTCCCCGCGTCTCTTTCCGCCTCTTCCTTCTGCTGCTGCTCCTCTGCCTCCTCCTCCTCCTTCGTCGCCACCTCGCCCTCCTCCACCACCTCCGACTTCCGCTTCCGGATGGAGACTGCGGAGAAAAGGTGGTGGGGGGGGGGTTGTCGGGGAGGTTCGGAATCATGCTGACGGACGTCAGACGGACACAGCGCCACGTCGCAACAGAAGACACGAACAAAATTCCCGCCCGCTCCCCTCCATCCATACCTCTCCGTGTCCCCGCGTCTCTTCCCACCCCTTCCTTCTGCTGCTGCTTCTCCTCCTTCGTCACCTCCTCCACCTCCACCACCTCCGACATCCGCTTCCGGGTGGAGACTGTGCAGAAAAGGGGAGTGTGGGTCAGGTCGAGGTGTCGGGGGTCGGCTGGTGAATCTCAAAGGACTCTCTTTCACCCGGTTAAATAAAGGCCGTCAGGCAGACACGCACACAAGACACGGACAACATCCGCTCCCCACCCCCCCCCCCCATCCATACCTCTCCGTGTCCCCGTGTCTCTTCCCACCCCTTCCGTCTGCTGCTGCTGCTCCTCTGCCTCCTTCGGCACCACCACCTCCTCTGTCACCACTTCCACCTCCTCCTCCGTCACCTCGGCCATGCGGCCCCCAAGCTGCTCCGACCTCCTCATGAGGATGGAGGACCTGAGGGACGGGCGACGGCCGTGTGGACGAGGCACGAGGGGGCTACTATGGCGGTAGCGGCCTCGCGAGAACGCCGGAGCCTGCCGAAAAGGAGGAGGGGGGGGGGGGGGGGCGGCAGTGGAGGATGGCGATGCATCGTTCGTGTCAACTAGGGTAGTCGTCTTTTTTTTTACGTTACGTACAGCTGCAGAGACGACAACTACTTCCAAATTCATGTTCCGGCGTTCAAGCCAAGCCGGCAGACAACCACGTCAGGAGCAGTAGCGGAGCAGTGCACTGTCGCGGTGATATATGTATGTATGTATGTTGAACGTCTTTCGCACCGTACATAGCCAACCGTACCAATCGGAGGTGCAGTATTGCGTTTATGCTCAGTGTTGAGTCTATGGGCAGTACATATGCAATTTGAATTTCTTTCACATCGCACATAGCCAACGCACTAAGCGAGTAGTATGTGTAGTGTATAGCAGTGTATACTGCAGCATGTATGTTGAACTTCTATCGCACCGTACGTAGTGCAGTACGTGCAGTGTATAGTGCAGTATGTATGTTGAACGTCTTTCGCACCGTACGTAGCCAACCGTGCTAAGCGGAGGTACAGGGGGAAGTAGAACAAACTCAGCGGAAAAAGCAGTTCCGAAGAAATTAGTTTGTCAATCTAGATGATGATTTAAGAGTGCATAGTTCCAGTGGCTTCCTAATATCTGAAGAGCGGTCCAAATGGCCGCAGAAGTGCATCTGAACGCGCGCAATGCAGTGACCATCTTTGTTCTATGGATAGCCAAAGCGTAGTATATAGGGTAGTGTATGTCGTGCAGTGTATAGTGTAGTTTATATAGCATCTGAATGTGCGTGATGCCGTGACCAGTCTTTTTTCCATGGCTCAGCCAAAGGCTGCTGCTGCTGCTGCTGCGAAAATGACAGGAATGCGTGTTACGATAGTTTATATATTCCTTCACAAGATCACAGCCAAGGTGATATTGCTGTGGTTCATTTGTAGCAAGCACTTTGTGTGTGTAATGAGTGCCGACCCAAGTTATGAGCAGAGTCGTGGAGTGGAGTATCATCACTAACCTTTGGTTCTTTCGGTAAAGTCACGTAAGGTATAAAATAACATAAATTAAATCACGACTTCTTTGGTTCTTTTGGTAAAGTCACGTAGAATGAGAATAAATTAATAAATTGATAAAATAAAATAACACAATAATATTCTCACGACGTTTCGGCCACAACACAAGCGGCCTTCATCAGGTGAAGGGACGAGACTGTCTGGTAGGACAGCGCTGGAGTGAAAGAGCCACGTTCAGATCACGGCTTTTAAGCCGAAACGTCGTGAGAATATTATTGTGTTATTTTATTTTATCAATTTATTATTTTATTCTCATTCTACGTGACTTTACCGAAAGAACCAAAGAAGATAAAATCATTGCAGTCACGAAAGCTTTAAATCGAAATTTAAATCACGACGTTTCGGGCACAACACAAGCGTCCGTCATCAGGTGGGACAACCGCAGCATGAAACAATTGCTGAAGTGGGCAAAAGGGCTGCCTGTATAGCCTCTTAGTCACTGCAGACCTTTCGTGTGATTTCATTTATTTTATACCCACGTGACTTTACCGAAAGAATCAAAGAGTATGGATCCCTGCAGTCACGAAAACTTAAAATCTAGATGAGAGCATCATCGTCACCGTGATGTCTCCTTCAAACCCTGAAGATGTCTGCTGCTGTATATTTGGAGTCTGCGTCTCTCCGTCCCTCCGTGGTGAGATGTTATGTCCCTCGCCTGCTATGGAGGACATTGTGGGTTCGGTACCGACGTTGATGCTGAAATGGCAAGGCTTTGCCACGTAGTCCAATTTCTGTTCTTGGGATAGTCAAAAGGCGATTAGGTGGACGTTCTACAGTTTCTTGGGCTTGACAATGGGGTGAATGAATTAGCTAAGCGTCGCACAGATTAGCCAATAATCATTATGGGTGAACAGGGCCCCCAATGTAATTGTTTTCTTTCTTCAAGTAATGTGAGATTGGATTTTAAGTAGGGGACGCAATGGTGGGGTCATGTATCCGCCAGACACTCATCCGCCACCCGCCGCACCGCCTACACCATTACACCACCCACCGTGTTCACTAAGCGCGCTGCGTGGCAGATGGCTGCGTTTGTCTCTGGGGTGCCGCGAGAACCCACGGAGGAACGGCGACGCCCCGTAGGAGATGTCCAGGCAGGCCTTGCATCTAAGGTGCGGGGGGAGGAGGTATTAGTGGGGGTGTGTGGGGGACACACAGCCATTGTGAACCCAGAGTGAGATACTCGGGACACAAGCAATGAACAGCGAATCCAGCACCTCAGTGTCTCCGACAGGGCCATCATGAACACAGTGAATTCAGGACCGCAGTGTCTCCAACACACCCATCACGAACCCAGAGTGAATCCAGGACCTGTGTCTGTGACACAGCCATCATGGACCCATAGAGTGAATCCAGGACCTCAGCCTCCCACACAGCCATAATGAACCCACTGAGAGACACTCAGACCTAAATAATGAACAGTGAATGCAGGACCCCCCCCGTCTCTCAAACACAGCTATCATGAAACCACACAAGAGCGAATCCCGGACCTGTCACAGACACGGCCATCATGAACCCACAGAAAGTGAACTCACCGCAGTCGGACGTAGCAGGGCCGTCTGTCTCCACCCCCGTCGCGGTCTTCTTCCTGCCGTCCTTGATGAGAGGGAAGGGAGACGACTCCCCCGGGGCCACGGGGCTCTTGTCCGCTCCGTCCCGCGCTAGCGGAACGTTCTCCTTGAAGGCGCGGACAGGCGAGCTGCCGTTACCGAGCAGCAGGACGCTCCTCACGGACTCCACCTCCAAGAGGTGGCGGCCCACGAGGGGTGACGACGACGACGACGACGGCGGACATAGCAGAAGCAGCGTGGCCTTGGCATCGGCCTTGGCGGTGCCGGAGGAGGGTGACTTAGAGGCCGGGTCGACCTCGGCACGGGGCGGCCGCTGGCCCGAAAGGTCCACCTCGCGGAGGGGCGACTTCGACGCGAGGGTGATGTTCCTGAGGGACGTCTCATCAATGGACAGCTTCTGCAGGTCTGCTGCATCTTCAGTGCACGACTTCTCCAGGTCTGCCTCATCAATGGACGTCTTCAGGTCTGCCTCATCAATGGACGACTTCTCCAGGTCTGCCTCATCAATGGACGACTTCTCCAGGTCTGCCTCATCAATGGACGTCTTCAGGTCTGCCTCGTCAATGGACGACTTCTGTAGGTCTTCCTTATCAATGGACGACTTCTGTAGGTCTGTTTCATCAATGGACGAGTTCTGCAGGTCTGCCTCATCAATGGATGACTTCTGTAGGTCTGCCTCATCAATGGATGACTTCTGCAGGTCTGCCTCATCAATGGATGACTTCTGTAGGTCTGCCTCATCAATGGATGACTTCTGCAGGTCTGCCTCATCAATGGATGACTTCTGTAGGTCTGCCTCATCAATGGATGACTTCTGCAGGTCTTCGTCATCAATGGATGACTTCTGCAGGTCTGCCTCATCAATGGACGATTTCTGCAGGTCTGCCTCATCAATGGACGACTTCTGTAGGTCTGCCTCATCAATGGACGACTTCTGTAGGTCTGCCTCATCAATGGATGACTTCTGCAGGTCTTTCTCATCAATGGACGATTTCTGCAGGTCTGCCTCATCAATGGACGATTTCTGCAGGTCTGCCTCATCAATGGATGACTTCTGTAGGTCTGCCTCATCAATGGATGACTTCTGCAGGTCTGTCTCATCAATGGACGAATTCTGCAGGTCTGCCTCATCAATGGACGACTTCTGCAGGTCTGCCTCGTCAATGGACGACTTCTGCAGGTTTGTCTCATCAATGGACGACTTCTGCAGGTCTTCCTCATCAATGGACGACTTCTGCAGGTCTTCCTCATCAATGGACGACTTCTGTAGGTCTTCCTCATCAATGGACGAATTCTGCAGGTCTGCCTCATCAATGGACGACTTCTGTAGGTCTGCCTCATCAATGGATGACTTCTGTAGGTCTTCGTCATCAATGGACGACTTCTGCAGGTCTTCCTCATCAATGGACGACTTCTGCAGGTCTTCCTCATCAATGGACGAATTCTGCAGGTCTTCGTTATCAATGGACGACTTCTGCAGGTTGGTCTCATCAATGGACGACTTCTGCAGGTCTTCCTCATCAATGGACGACTTCTGCAGGTCTTCCTCATCAATGGACGACTTCTGCAGGTCTTCGTTATCAATGGACGACTTCTGCAGGTTGGTCTCATCAATGGACGACTTCTGCAGGTCTTCCTCATCAATGGACGACTTCTGCAGGTCTTCCTCATCAATGGACGACTTCTGCAGGTCTTCCTCATCAATGGACGACTTCTGCAGGTCTGCCTCATCAATGGACGACTTCTGCAGGTCTTCCTCATCAATGGACGCCTTCTGCAGGTTTGTCTCATCAATGGACGACTTCTGCAGGTCGGTTTCATCAATGGACGACTTCTGCAGGTATGTCTCATCAATGGACGACTTCTGCAGGTCTCCCTCATCAATGGACGACTTCTGCAGGTTTGTCTCATCAATGGACGACTTCTGCAGGTATGTCTCATCAATGGACGACTTCTGCAGGTCTCCCTCATCAATGGACGACTTCTGCAGGTCTGCATCTTCAATGGACGTCTGAAAGTCTGCCTCATCAATGGACGACTTTTGCACGTCTGCTGCATCATCAAACAACTTCTGGAAGTCTACATGATCAATGGATGACTTCTGTAGGTTTCCATCTTCAATGGACGAATTCTGTAAGTCTGCTTCATCAATGGACGACTTCTGCAGGTCTACTGTATCTTCAATGGACGACTTCTGCAGGTCTGTCTCATCAATGGATGAATTCTGTAGCTCTCCATCTTCAATGGACGACTTCTGCAGGTCTGCCTCATCAATGGACGACTTCTGCAAGTCTGCATCTTCAATGGACGACGTATATAGGTCTGCCTGATCAATGGACGACTTCTGCAGGTCTGCTGCATCATCAATGGACGACTTCTGAAGGTCTGCCTCATCAATGGATGAATTCTGTAGGTCTCCATCTTCAATGGACGACTTCTGTAGGTCTCCATCTTCAATGGACGACTTCTGTAGGTCTGCCTCATCAATGGATGAATTATGTAGGTCTCCATCTTCAATGGACGACTTCTGAAGGTCTGCCTCATCAATGGTTGAATTCTGTAGGTCTCCATCTTCAATGGACGACTTCTGTAGGTCTCCATCTTCAATGGACGACTTCTGTAGGTCTGCCTCATCAATGGATGAAGTCTGCAGGTCCGTATCGTCAACAGACGAATTATGCACGTCTGTTTCATCCATGGACGGCTTATCAAGGTCAACCTCCTTGGTGGACAATGCCCATTTGGGTGTCCACACTGGTGTCTTAGCCGTCTGTCTGGGTGTCTGCACTGCAGCCTTAGCTGTCTGTTGGGGTGTCTGCACTGGTGTCTTAGCAGTATGGTCGGCTGGCTGTCCAGGTGTCTTCACTGGAGTCTTAGCTGTCTGTCTGGGAGTCTGCACTGGAGTCTTGGCTGTCTGGTCGGCTGCCTGTCTGGGTGTCTTCACTGGAGTCTTGGCTGTCTGGTCGGCTGTCTGGTCGGCTGTCTGTCTGGGTGTCTTCACTGGAGTCTTGGCTGTCTGTCTGGGCGTCTTCACTGGAGTCTTGACTGTCTGGTCAGCGATTTGCTTGTCTGTCTTCATTGGAGTCTTGGTTGCCTGGTCGGCGGTCTGTCTGGGAGTCTGCACTGGAATCTTAGCAGTATGGTCGGCTGTCTGTCTGCGTGTCTTGACTGGAGTCTTGGCTGTCTGGTCGGCTGGCTGTCCAGGTGTCTTCATTGGAGTCTTAGCTGTCTGTCTGGGTATATTCATTGGAGTCTTGGCTGTCTGGTCGGCTGGCTGTCCAGGTGTCTTCATTGGAGTCTTGGCTGTCTGGTCGGCTGGCTGTCCAGGTGTCTTCATTGGAGTCTTGGCTGTCTGGTCGGCTGTCTGTCTGGGAGTCTGCACTGGAATCTTAGCAGTATGGTCGGCTGTCTGTCTGCGTGTCTTCACTGGTGTCTTCGCAGTCTGGTCAGCTATTTGTTTGGGTGTCTGCACTAGAGTCTTGGCTGTCTGGTCGCCTGTCTGTCTGGGTGTCTTCGCAGTCTGGTCAGCTATTTGTTTGGGTATCTGCACTGGAGTCTTGGCTGTCTGGTCGGCTGTCTGTCTGGGTGTCTTGACTGGAGTCTTAGCAGTATGGTCGGCTGTCTCTGCGATTAAAGTAACAGCCTCAACCGTGGAATTGGTAGAGATGGCGGCAGTCAATGCTGTAACATACACACACGCGCGATGGTGTTAGAGAGTCCAGAAACACTCCCACTCATGCTCGTTCAAGCACTCGCGCTCACTGAAACATCGCACACAAGCTCACTCTTGTACACAAAGATCCCCTGGACAGCCTCTCAAAAAGACTGTTGGGGCAAATGCTGTTAGGGCGAGTAGCACCTATGAAGGCCGGCACTGTGGCACACGAGGTGGTGGGTGGCCAACAACACACCCGGTTGCCTTTGTCTCCCCAGTGGCGATGTTTACTACAACCGCATCAACTCTGGTTGCCGGGTTCGTAGTGCACCACGAACCACTACTGCCACACACAGACAGACACTCACACAAACCCTCTTCTAAATCACCCAGTCACCTAAACCACTCTCTCATCACTCTCTCACTTGGTCACTCACCCACCCCAGCCAGCCACATCCATTCATGCTGTCCTTACACCGGGTTCTTCTTACCATCATCAGGTGGTACGGGCTCAGTAGCAGCAGCTGGTGGTGCAGCAGAAGCAGCATCTGCAGAAGCAGCAACAGCGGCATCCGGAGGCAGCTCAAACCTGCAGCGGCAGCAGCAGGGCCGGTGAACCACTCCGTAAACCATGACTCGTCCAGAATCTCGTTTTGATTGCCACGTGGCAAAAATATATATTAAGAACCTGCCTATTTTTTCATATCGGGGGCTTCTCCTACTACGACACATTCGACCCACTGTTACTGTACACTATATTATACACTACTATATACTATTATACACTACTCTACTATACATTACACTACTATACGCTACACTACTATGCGCTACACTACACAATACACTACTATGCTCCTATACATTACACTATACAATCCACTACCACATTACAATACACTACACTGTATACTACTACACACTACACTTCTATACACTACACTCCAGTAAGGTGTCAGAGTACGCAGGGGTTAGGTTCCGTGTATCCCCGCGTAAGTGTGAATTCGCTTAAGTTTGGGGTTCGCCTATACGAGCGTAACATATGCAATGTATATTACACTACTGTATACTACTATCTATAAAAAAATAAAAAGCTTAATCTGTACTCTTTGGTTTTTTCAGTAAAGTCACTTTAGATTTAATTTAGTTTTCACTTATTTTATTTTTCCTAAATGACTGCACCGAAAAACCCCCCCTTGCAGTCACGAAAGTTTCCAATGTAGAACCTTAATCTGTATGTCTGAAAAACCTCTCGGTTACTTCCTGGCAGGGTAGAAAGCTAAAATTTGGTACACAAATAGCTTTTAGAACACAAACAACAGAACATCTGAAAAACCGACATTGTTTATTTGAAGACCCCCCCCTCAAAGTCTCGATTTTAAGTGCCAATGAACGCATTTGTGTGCGTGGTGTCATTCAGAAACCGTTCAGGATATGAGATTGTTTTTTTTTTCCTTTCATAGAGCGTTAGACGGTAAATACAATTAAAGCGAGAACCATTGATTAATTGATTAAGATATTTCGGATTCAAGCAGTTTTGAATGACAAAAAACGCATTTTATTATGTTCAAATCTGAATCATTCGAAAACAGTAAAAGATAGGAGAGCTTCCCCTTATAAATAATTAAGTGAATTCATTTTTGTTCTTTTTAATAAAAAAAGAAGAGAATCTTTAAATTGGGCGGTTTCCGATGGGCACGTCTTTAAATAGAAGTTTGATCAAGTCATCAACTATTTTTGCGTGGAAAAAATAATAGGTTTTAACCTTTCGGGCACTAAAAGAGGTGTTAAGATGTTCAAACACAAAATAGAAACCTTTCGCAAGAAATCATGCCTGCATTAACCACACGTACTTGTGGTGGACATGCAAACAAACATGCTCTGATAATATATGGCATTGTCTTTTAAACTGATTGGCCTACACCAGAGACAGCTTTCTTTAGGGCCTAGTCTCCACCAGTGTAAGACCAGAGAATGGCAAAGGTCGAACAGTATAAAGAAAATGCAATATCAGGGCATTTAAACTTCGTTGCGAGCAGCTTGCAAAATTCATAAACGGTAAAACCTTGGATTGCGAGCGTAATTCGTTCCGGCATCGTGTTTGTAATCCAAAGCACTCGTACATCAGTTGTGATCACGTGATGCTCGGCAGACAAAGCGTCTACACGTACACTGCTCGTATTGCAAGACCCTCGCTCGTCTATCAAATTAATATTCATTTAAAATTTCTGCTCGTCTTGCAGGACACTCGCAGACCAAGTTACTCGCAATCCAAGGTTTTACTGTATTTGGTATTTGAACATCTTAACACGTGTTTTATTGCCAGAAAGGGTAAAACCTATAACCTATTCTTATTTTTTCACACTTTGATATTGCCAAAAAAGATCCCATGTTGTAGCTGCTCACCCCGAGCTATATATGCCCTGATTGTGCATTGCCATTGCACTGTTCACCGTTTGGCGTTCTCTGATCTGACACTGGTGAGACTATACACTACTTGACACTATACATTACACTAATATACACTACACTACTATACACTACACTAGTATATACACTACTATACACTTCACTACAATACCCTACTATGCACTACACAACTATACCCTACTATACACAACATTACGATACACTGCACTACTATACACTTTACTCCTACACCCTACTATATACAACATTACGATACACTAGACTACTACACCCTACGATACACAACATCACTATACACTACTTTACACGACACTCACCTGAAGGAGCGGTGGTGCACCGTGAAGACGTCTTCGTGCGCCAGCACCACTCCACCGGGCGGCACCGGACTACCGTTCACCAGAGTCCTGCCAGCATCCGACAGGCTACACAGCACCACCTTGTGGTGGTGCAGACCAACGGACAGACAGACGGACGGAGGGACAGACAGACGGAGGGACGGACGGAGCGGTTGGCGTTCTGGAATCGTGAAAAACTTAGTTTGGAAATCCGACGATGCAACGACGCTCTTTTTTTCCCACGTCACAAGCAGATGTCCCACGAGGTAAGAAACGTTCAACAACAAACTCTTTGGTTCTTTCGGTAAAGTCCCCTATAAAATAAATTAAATCACGACGTTTCGATGACTGCTTGTGTTGCTATCGAAACGTCGTGATTTAATTTATTTTCTACCTACGTGACTTTACCGAAAGAGCCAAAGAGTATGGATCCCTGCAGTCACGGAAACTTCAAATCTAGATTGAACAATAAACAAACGAACCGCACGATACCACACGAATAAAAACACTCAACAAGCGGAAAAGTACAGCTCAGACTCTCGATTGTCTGCGTGCGGTTTATGCAACTTTGCGGGTTAACCGGGTTAGATCGCGTGTAAATGTGGGTGAGTGGATGAATGAATGGGTGAGTGAGTGTGTGAATGAGTGGCTGGTTTAGTCGATGCAATAGTGGGTGGTTAATTGGGTGAATGAGTAGGTGGATGGGTGAGCGTTGTCGTCCTGCATCGTTAAGACCTCACCAGAAGGCGGAGGCACAGGTCAGTGGGTGGGTGAGTGGGTGGGTGAGTGTGTGAGCGAATGAGTGGGTGGGTGAGTGGGTAAGTGAGCGGTTAATCGGTCATAGTGGAGAGCGCCTCACCTGCCCGTCATCCTGCACATCAAGGCGACAATGCATCAGCTGGACCTCGTTGAACTGGATGCGGATGTCGCAATCGGGAGACCTGGGAGCATGCACACGCAGGGACATGGACGGACACGCACGCGACACAACTCAAGCATAAAACTGTCGTCACCGCAAAGATATCCGGTCGTCGTGCTAGCAGCACCAGCGGTGGCTTTTGGCTGGCCATCAAAACAAAGAGGGTCACGGCATCGCACGCGGCGCTTTCAGATGCTAAACACGCTATACACCACCACCACCTCCCTCCACTATCACCACGACCACCTCCCCCACTATCACCACCACCTCCCCCACTATCACCACCTCCCTCCACTATCACCACCACCAACTCCCCCAATATCACCACCACCTCCTCCACTATCACCACCTCCCCCACTATCACCACTACTTCCCCCTATCACCACCACCTCCCCCCCCACTATCACCACCTCCCCCACTATCACCACCACCTCCCCCCCACTATCACCACCACCCCCCCCCCCACTATCACCACCATCTTACCCCCACTATCACCACAACCACCTCCCTCGATCACAACCACCTCCCTCGATCACCACCACTACACATCCCCCTAAATATCACCACCACCTGCCGCCACTTTCACCACCACCAGCACCACCACCTCCCGCCACAACCTCTCCCCAACGATCACCAACACCTCTCCCCACTATCACTACCTCCCACCAAAACACCTCACCTGCCAATAAGGCAGCTGCGTACGCTGAGGGGGAAGCCGATGCCATGGCTGCCGTTTCGCTTGATGACGATGATCTTGCCGTGGAGCTCCATGGTTGGTTGGTGGGTCCGGTGTTCACCACCACACCACCACCACACCACCACCGATGTCTAGCCCGCAAACACACCCAGAGACACCTACAAAAAGGACAATGATCGTCAGCGTAGCATTAACCAGACCATCGGGGGCAATTCTGTCCATACATTTGTCTCTGCATCCAACTGTCTGTTATCACATTATCACCATGATCACTGCCATCCTGTCTGCATTCTATCTCGGTGTCTCTGTCAATCTCTGGCTGTCTCTCTATAGACCTGTCTGTATACATTTGTCTCTGCATCCAACCATCTGTCATCATCACGACATTATCACCATGATCACTACCCACCCTGTCTGCCTTCTATATCTGTCTATCTCTGGCTGTCTCCACTATACACGTTTGTGTACAATTATGTCTAGTTATAGTCGACTATATGTTCATCACAATACCAATTATACTGTTTAATCTAAAAACTTTAGAGCGACACAATAACTGTTAAACGCTTATATATATGACAGAGAATACCGTACAGAGTAAGGTTTTTGTTTGTAATGTTAAAGGTAAAGATTAGGTCGTGGCTCGGTCATACTTCGCCACTCCGTGTCATCGGGTTTAAAGTTTCTAAGTTAATTTAACACGTGGGCTTTCGCGACCAACATTATCCAGAATACAGGTTTTTTTTTTACCATATTATCCATAATACATCACGTCTATCCATCTATTTAAGAACGAAACAGCAGGATTTCTCCACAAATCTGTCCGTCGCCTGAAGATCCCGGTTGTTAATTGATGGCTAAAACGTCATGGTAATGAAGATTGTAAATGTTGTGGATTTGCTCTCCTCAGCACCATCACCGGTTAGTGCTGTACCAGTAACAAATTGTCGACGTTCTGTTTACGTGACAACCCTTGCTAGTTGGCTGTGTCGGGTGGTGGCGGGTTTAACGACACATTTAGATTTACGCGATCTAACCCAACAACAAAAAACATTCTATATTAGGGATAATAAGGATATATTGTAACGTTCTTAAGAACAACTGTCATAACGACGACGATGTTTAAACGGTGATGGTGAATATACTATATATTATTACGGACATATAGTAGTCTATTTTGAACTAATATTCATACTATATATAGTAAATTCACTCAACTTCACAGTACTATATACTAGTGATTATATAGTAACGATATAGTATATTCACTATATTTAATAGTACTAAACTATACAGTACTATTCTTGGTTCTTTCGGTAAAGTCACGTAGATAGAAAATAAAAATTATATATTTTTTATTCATTTTCTATTGTGTATATACACACACAAATAAAATAGTTTTTTGTTGTATTTTAAAATTGTATTATTTATTTTTAGTTTCTATCTACGCGACTTTACCGAAAGAACCAAGAATATGAATTCCTGCAGTCACGAAAGTTTTAAGTCAAAATGTATAGAGTACTATATATAATATTCACTATATAGTACTGTATAGTATATTCACTACCAATTATATTAATACTATATAGTAATATATAGCCTATTAGAAATAAAAAATAGTGATCTATTTGAACTATATTTCTAAATACGTGACTTTACCGAAAGAACCAACCAACAATGAGTATAGTTCATAATAAAGGGTTTTAGGGGTTTAGATCGCGTTATTTATAAATGTGTTGTAACCCTCCATCACCCGACAAGGCCAACCAGCAACAACAACAAAGTGTAACGTTGACAAAAGACAAAATAAATTTTGATTTAAAGCTTTCGTGACTGCAGGTATTTATATTCTTGGTTCTTTCGGTAAAGTCACCACGTAGAAGGGAAACAATAAAATAATAATAAATATATAAAACAATGAAATTCTCACGACGTTGTGGTTTTCACACCTGATGATTGCTGTGGTTGCAGTCGAAACGTCGTGAGAATTTGATCGTTTTAATTGTTATTTATTATTTTATTGTTTCCCTCCTACGTGACTTTAGCCCACCGGTGTGTTGAAGAGTGAATCCACAACATTTACACATTTTTTTTTAGTACAGTTCGTGACACTTTTTGTTGTTGTTAATTGGCCGCGTCGGGTGGTGGAGACTTACGACACATTTATAAATAACGCGATCTACACCCCTAAAAAAAGAAACCTTTATTATTAATAATATTGGTCGCGAAAGACTACGTGTTAACCTGAGTATAGTAATTCCTGCAGAAAGCTTCAATACTAGATATAGTACGGTACTGTATATTATTATTTGGGTCTTTCGCTACAGTCACGTTGATAGATTCAAATAAAAAAACATTAAAAAAACCACGTTACGATCACAACACAGGAGGAAAAAAAACAGAGGGAGGGAAAGTTTCTGAGGCAGACTGTTTTAAAGGTTTAACGGAGACAATGTTTAAACGGCGTTGTTATTATTAACATTGACCAGAGGTTTGTTAACGTTATAAGTTAACGCGCACACAACAGCCCCCAAACTATTACACCTTAACAGATCGATGTATCTATTTCTCTATATATTATATACAAGACTGTATCGCGTTATAACCACTGACATTCACAAAACAAGTGCAGTTGATGCGAACCGTTTAACTTTACCTCAGAAATGTGCGCGAGATACATTTAAACTATGTTGCAGATACACAAACACCGCGTCGCGGGTATAAGCACATTAACTTTAATAAGCGTACGAACCAAAACCGGTGAGGCAACTTAACTGTTGGAAGTTTACCTCAGAAAGAAACATTTTTTTAAAAAAGCGCGGGAAACCGGAACCACCACCAACACAACAGCCTGAGGTAAACACAATAACATTTAAAATTAAACAACATTTTTTTGCATAACAATAGCGGACACTTACCTCTCGTTCCAACTCTGTTGTTTACGAATTTTTGTTTGTTAATTAAAACTCAATAATCACTTTTTAAATGAGAGTTGATGAAAAGTTTCCGGAGCGAGTCAGCGAGCGAGCGAGCGCGCGCGCGCCAGGACTATTTTTTTTGCGGTGAGCCTCCGCTCACTGACAGTGAGGGGGAGGGGCGTCGCTACTTATATATGACCGCATCACCGCCGAACTCGCCACAATCCGCCTCGATTCAGTTTTAAAACAACCCTCACATCGATTTAAAAAAAATGATATTAATAATCGATAACGAATTAACGAGACGCGTTAGCAGAACTTGGCACGGGGCCTTCAAAGCGTCGTTTGTCTACCGATCGATTCGGTCCGACGCCGCGCACTATTTTCAGAGAGACGCGCACGGATACCGAACGATGGTGGTGATTTTGATCAGCGGGCAGAGGTGGGGGGTGGGGTCATTGGAGGGGGGGAGGGAGGAGCGGTTAAAATTTAAATGCGAAGACGTCACGATCGCCGAGCTCCATGATTGGTGAAGGAGGTCCCCGTCCGTTCGGCGGCAGCGGCGTTGATTGGCGGACGTGGGGAGGGGGGGCGTTTGAAATTTTAGAGGATTTTTTTTGGCGGGAAGTGTTTAAAATTATGAAAAATTCGGGTTAACTTATTATTGCTGTTGTTGTTGTTAGATCGTGTAAATATAAACGTTGTGTCGTTAAACCTCGCCACCACCCGACACAGCGAGTCAGTCAACAGAACGTTGCCAATTCGTGAAGATTGCAAATGTGGATCGCCTCTCCAACACGCAGCCGGTTTGTGCTGCACTGGTAACAACAACAACAACAACTTACAACAACAACAACTAACAACAACAACAACTACAACAACAACTTGTAACAACAACTACAACTTACAACAACAACAACTTGTAACAACAACTACAACTTACAACAACTTACAACAACAACTACAACAACTATAGTAACAACAACTACTACTTACAACAACAACTACTACTATAGTAACAACAACTACAACTTACAACAACAACAACAACTTACAACAACTACTACTATAGTAACAACAACTACTATAGTAACAACAACTTAGAACAACAACTTACAACAACAACTACTAACAACAACAACTATAGTAACAACAACTTAGAACAACTATAGTAACAACAACTACTATAGTAACAATAACTTAGAACAACTATAGTAACAACAACTACTAACAACAACTACTATAGTAACAACAACAACTACTAACAACAACTACAGTAACAACTACAACAACTACTATAGTAACAACAACTTAGAACAACTATAGTAACAACAACTACTAACAACAACAACTTACAACAACAACTTACAACAACTATAGTAACAACAACTTAGAACAACTATAGTAACAACAACTACTAACAACAACAACTACCATAGTAACAACAACTTAGAACAACTATAGTAACAACAACTATTAACAACAACAACTACTAACAACAACTACTATAGTAACAACAACTTAGAACAACTATAGTAACAACAACTACTAACAACAACTAACAACAACAACTACTATAGTAACAACTTAGAACAACTATAGTAACAACAACTACTAACAACAACAACAACTACTAACAACAACTTACAACTACTAACAACTACTTATAACAACAACAACTTAGAACAACAACTATAGTAACAACAACTTAGAACAACAACTTACAATTACTAACAACAACTTACAACTACTAACAACAACTATAGTAACAACAACTATAGTAACAACAACTTAGAACAACTTAGAACAACAACTTAGAACAACAACTTACAACAACAACTATAGTAACAACAGCAACTTAGAACAACAACTTAGAACAGCTTAGAACAACAACAACTTAGAACAACAACTATAGTAACAACAACTATAGTAACAACAACAACTTAGAACAACAACAGCTTAGAACAACATCTTAGAACAACAACTACAGTAACAACAACTTAGAACAACAACCAAATCGCTGCGCGTGGCGCTAACTTTTTTTTTACATAAATAAATACACCGTTTGAAAATAAATAAATTTATGCAAACCGACACACCTGAGGACGACCGTTTGTGTTATGGTCGAAACGTCGTGAGAATTTTTATTGTTTTATGAATATTTTATTATTTTGTTGTTTCCCTTAAACGTGACTTTGCCGAAAGAACTAAGATTATAATAATAATAACTGTAGTAACAACAACTATAGTAACAACAACTATAGTAACAACAACTATAGTAACAACAACAACTATAGTAACAACAACAACTATAGTAACAACAACTATAGTGACAACAACTATAGTAACAACAACTTAGAACAACAACTTAGAACAACTTAGAACAACAACTATAGTAACAACAACTATAGTAACAACAACTTAGAACCACAACTTAGAACAACTTAGAACAACAACAACTATAATAACAACAACTATAGTAACAACTTAGAACAACAAGTCACGTTTTTTATTGTTTTATATTTTTTTTTATTATTTTATTGTTTCCCTTCCACGTGACTTTACCGAAAGAGCTAAGAATATGAATTACTGCAGTCACGAAAGCTTTAAATACAAATTTAGAACAACAACTTATGACAACTGAAAACAACAACAACTTAGAACAACAACAACTTAGAACAACAACAACTTAGAACAACAACTTAGAGCAACAACTATAGTAACAACAACTTAGAACAACAACTATAGTAACAACAACAACTTAGAACAACAACAATAGTAACAACAACAACTTAGAACAACAACAACTATAGTAACAACAACTATAATAACAACAACTACAGTAACAACAACTATAGTAACAACAACTATAGTAACAACAACTATAGTAACAACAACAACTTAGAACAACAACAACTATAGTAACAACAACTATAGTAACAACAACTATAGTAACAACAACTACAGTAACAACAACTATAGTAACAACAACTATAGTAACAACAACTACAGTAACAACAACAACTTAGAACAACTATAGTAACAACAACTTAGAACAACAACAACTATAGTAACAACAACTATAGTAACAACAACTATAGTAACAACAACAAATATAGTAACAACAACTATAGTAACAACAACTATACTAACAACAACAACTATAGTAACAACAACTATAGTAACAACAACAACTATAGTAACAACAACTATAGTAACAACAACAACTATAGTAACAACAACAACTATAGTAACAACAACTATAGTAACAACAACTTAGAACACAACTTAGAACAACTTAGAACAACTATAGTAACAACAACTATAGTAACAACAACATAGAACAACAACTTAGAACAACAACTTAGAACAACTTAGAACAACACCAACTATAGTAACAACAACTATAGTAACAACAACAACTTAGAACAACAAGTCACGTTTTTTTATTGTTTTATATAATTTTTTATTATTTTATTGTTTCCCTTCCACGTGACTTTACCGAAAGAGCTAAGAATATGAATTACTGCAGTCACGAAAGCTTTAAATACAAATTTAAAAAAACAACTTACGACAACAACTTAGAACAACAACAACTTAGAACAACAACAACTTAGAACAACAACAACTTAGAACAACAACTATAGTAACAACAACTTAGAACAACAACTATAGTAACAACAACTTAGAACAACAACTGCTTAGAACAACAACAACAACTATAGAAACAACTATAGTAACAACAGCAACTTAGAACAACAACTATAGTAACAACAACAACTTAGAACAACAACTTAGAACAACAACTATAGTAACAACAACAACTTAGAACAACAACAACTTAGAACAACAACTATAGTAACAACAACAACTTAGAACAACAACAACTTAGAACAATTATAGTAACAACAACTTAGAACAACAACTATAGTAACAACAACTATAGTAACAACAATAACTTAGAACAACAACTTAGAACAAGAACAACTTAGAACAACAACTTAGAAAAACAACAACAACAACTATAGTAACAACAACTATAGTAACAACAACTATACTAACAACAACTTAGAACAACAACTATAGTAACAACAACTACAGTAACAACAACAACTTAGAACAACTATAGTAACAACAACTTAGAACAACAACAACTATAGTAACAACAACTATAGTAACAACAACTATAGTAACAACAACAACTATAGTAACAACAACTATAGTAACAACAACTTAGAACAACAACAACTATAGTAACAACAACTATAGTAACAACAACTATAGTAACAACAACTATAGTAACAACAACAACTATAGTAACAACAACAACTATAGTAACAACAACAACTATAGTAACAACAACAACTATAGTAACAACAACAACTATAGTAACAACAACTATAGTAACAACAACAACTATAGTAACAACAACAACTTAGAACAACAACAACTATAGTAACAACAACTATAGTAACAACAACAACTTAGAACAACAACAACTATAGTAACAACAACTATAGTAACAACAACAACTATAGTAACAACAACTATAGTAACAACAACAACTATAGTAACAACAACAACTATAGTAACAACAACTATAGTAACAACAACTATAGTAACAACAACAACTATAGTAACAACAACTATAGTAACAACAACAACTATAGTAACAACAACAACTATAGTAACAACAACAACTATAGTAACAACAACAACTATAGTAACAACAACAACAACAACTATAGTAACAACAATAGTAACAACAACAACTATAGTAACAACAACAACAACTATAGTAACAACAACTATAGTAACAACAACTATAGTAACGAACAACTATAGTAACAACAACAACTATAGTAACAACAACTATAGTAACAACAACAACTATAGTAACAACAACAACTATAGTAACAACAACAACTATAATAACAACAACTATAGTAACAACAACAACTATAGTAACAACAATAGTAACAACAACAACAACTACTAACAACAACAACTATAGTAACAACAACTACTAACAACAACAACTATAGTAACAACAACTTAGAACAACAACTATAGTAACAACAACTATAGTAACAACAACAACAACTATAGTAACAACAACAACTATAGTAACAAGAACTTAGAACAACAACTATAATAACAACAACTATAGTAACAACAACAACTATAGTAACAACAACTATAGTAACAACAACAACTATAGTAACAACAACTATAGTAACAACAACTATAGTAACAACAACAACTATAGTAACAACAACAACTATAGTAACAACAACAACTATAGTAACAACAACTATAGTAACAACAACAACTATAGTAACAACAACTATAGTAACAACAACAACTATAGTAACAACAACTATAGTAACAA